ATATTTGGGTATATTGAAGAGGACGGAAAATTGATGAAATGGAATTTAAGAAATAATTCTACTCCTGAAGAGATAATAATACAATCGGATGAAGAAGGAGATGAAGTTATAGAGAAATTTTTTATTAATGTTGCATGTGGAGAAAATCATTGTTTAGCATTGACTAGAGATGGCGAAGTATTTAGTTGGGGATCCGGAAGGTAATTTTATACATTTAAATTTTATTGTGAATAATTTATTTATTTATTTTATTTTTTTTATTGTTGACGATATCAAAAATGTGTTGTTGTAGTAGTTGTTATAAATATTCGCTTTATTATTCATGATGATGATGAATGGTGATGATGGTACAGATATGGACAATTAGGTCACGGAAACTTAAATTCCTTAGATAAATCAGATAAACCAAAGGTCATAGAATTTTAAGAGGCGCATATACGGGAAAACTAAAACCTGGACAAACAAGTTCATCGGATGGATTTAAAGGCAATACAACCATGATATCTTCAGATAAATTATTGTTCAAAGTGTACGATGTGATTGTGGTGAACAATTAAAAGAAGCTATGGAATTAATTCGATCGGAAGGACGAGGAGTTGTAATATATTTGAGGCAAGAAGGTAGAGGAATTGGTTTAGCAGATAAGTTAAGGTGAATATTAATTATTTTAATTATTAAACATTATATAAATTTTATTCATTATATTCAATGATATTTAATAATACTTTAATAATATTTGATAATAATCAATAATATATTTTTTTTTCTTTAGAGCATATAATCTTCAGGATTTAGGATATGATACAGTTTCAGCAAATGTTTTTTTACATCACCCACCTGACCTTCGTACTTATGACATTGCAAATCAAATTCTAGCCGATCTTAGGTTAAGTAATATTCGATTACTTACAAATAATCCTGATAAGATTGAGCAAGTCGAAAATGGTGGGATAAAAGTAGTCGAGCGGGTACCAATGGTTCCTTTAGCATGGAAAGTTAACCATGACTCCAATCATATTATTAATGAATTAGATCAATATCTTAAAGTAAAGGTTGAAAGAATGAGACATTTATTAAATGTTCCAGAAACTTTATTAAATTGACATTTTCATTTCCCTTATTTTTTTTAAACATCATCAG